CAATGAGATGGAAAGACAGAGTGAGAAAGAGAACATATTACATTCATCTAGCTCGTTAGCTATGGTCTTGGCGAATTATTCACGAAGCAATTATTTCTCTCTTGCGACGAAAGTTTCAATAACTTATCGAAGGCAGAATATAAGAAGCAGGACGTCGGTTAACAAGCGCAAGTTCGTTAATTAACAACAAAGAAAATTAAAAAAGTGCGCAAGCTGTAAAGTTTGTTATTGCGACGACGCCCAACACTTTGTAAGGTAACGGAGAATCGAAGTGACTTTGCTATTCGATTTTATCTATACTATTATACCTCTCCTCGAGAGAGCGAGGGAGAGGGTAGGCATCCTATCCAATTGTAATTCTCTCTTTGCCGCGTGTCAGCCAACTTTGAAGACACCGAGCTACGACCATTAAATCGTCCCGATCTAATTGTCAGTGCCAGCCGAGGCGCGTAAGACTTGCGAGGGAATGAGAACAAGACTTTGCCGACGCCATTCTACTCTTGACTCAACTTTGCATTGCTCTTGCTTACTCGATTAAGTATCGCTGCACATGATAACATTTTATTCTCTAATCCACGTGTAAATTTCATTTACAAGACAATGCAGAATTTTCTTTTTCTCACTTACACTTAATTTCGAATTTTTTGTCTAGCATTCAGAGTAGATTGTTTCTCTGCAGTTACTATAGGCAGATACCGTTTTCATTTCCTTTCTTTCATCGTAAAGTAAAAAACGATACATTTGTGATCGATGTTTTATGTGTAGAAGTTTCACTATTTGTAAAGAAAGGATATTTGACTTGCGAAGTGGATGAATAATCATTGACCTGTAGTAAGTAAAGATTTGATGAAATGGACATTGTTTACTGAAACGTGGATGAATCATGAAAAATAGAATTCACAGTGGTCTTACGAACAATGCCTGTTTTTATATAAAGGGAGATCACCACTGTCTATATGAATAAGAGTTTTGTTTTTGAGAAAAAACAATCTACATTTGTCGATTTCAATATCACTGAGCAAACTTATTGACACATCAGTAGCGTCTTTGAGAAGAAATATCGTTTGCATTTCAAGATTTGTGACATTATCTATATCAATCAAACCAGCATATAACCTCGTATACATTATATTTACATTATATATATAATTATTATATACATTATATATATAACTATATCCTGTTAGATTCACCGAGGTGAAAATCAAAACAAACTTTCTGTATAAGATATATTCACAGAAATGTTGAAACACGTTTGCATTGCTGTTCAGCGAAATAGTCCAACAGAAGACCCTCTTCTCTTATAGAAGCCTATAAAAAGAAAGACCTCTATGATTCAAGTACTCGTCTCTCGCGGGATTTTTATAAGAATGTACTGCAAACTACCTATATAATGTTATTTCTTAAATAAAAAAAAATAAAGTACTAGAAATAAAATTATCATGCGAAATTAAACGCGAATAGACTAGCACTGAAACATTTATCGATGTTTACAAATCCGATCAAGACATATTGTAGAAAACGAAGCAGATGCCAACCACTCCAAAAAGATCGATCGGCGTTTTGTCTCTCATAGGTCGGGCCATTGTACACGCGTGCACGCTCCTAATAATCTACTTTAGCGAAAAGGTGACATCGATTTTCATGCCACTCGCGAGACACACACAGCTATACGTAATACTTGTGCAATCCATTAATAAAAAGGCGAAGGCGACGCGTACGTAGGCGATGTATCTGTACCAAGTATCTTGTAAATGATAAAGTCATTTTTCCACTACCGATGTGCAAATCTTCATCTGAAGCTTTTTTCATGTGTAAGCTAAGAGAAGTCAGTCTACAAGTTTCTTGCGCAATTCGTTGAAAATAAATGGAGCATAAGCTAAGTACACGCGTTCGAATTCGTAGAATGCAAGAAGATGAGTGCGATGAAAACGTTATATATTCGAAGGAGAAATTCAGGCAAGTGAGGAAAAAAGCCATCCAGCGCGAGAGACGTAAGCTTTAATATTCTTCCGCGGTAATGCGTTCACATATTCAGTAATAAATCTGACACGTATATATCTGCCCCCAATGATTTTAAAAAAGTTAATTTTTTCTCACCCTAATATATATCGGTAATTTATGAAGCGTGCCGTCGGAAAAAATACGAAGATAAAAGAGAGCTTTGCAATCGTAAAGGAAAAAGAGATAAAACCTGAAGCGGATAGCCTTCCGCGCGCGTGTACGGCAAAAGATCGATCAGAGGGGCGATTCGACTCGCGTGGGCACGCAGACAGAACTGATTGCTCTCTTTTTCTCTCTTTCGCTCGGCCGAAAACATGCCGATGCGATTTGCAACTGCACGCTGCCACCCGTGACAAAGGTTTTTTTCCTTTTTTCCTTCTTTTTTTTCATTTTTTTTTTAAACGCCGAGATTATTACAATTACCTCTTTGAGGATAATTAAATAGTCGTACGCAAGCGATGTATACGTACGCTTGTACTCCATTTTTTAGTCGTTACTTTTACATTGAACGATCACCAACCGACTTGCAAATGCAAAGTGACTCGATCACTGGGATTCACTAAACGTATCTCTCTCGAAACGTTCACTTATCAATTTGATCCTCTCTTGTTCCTTGATCCCGGTAGAGCTTATCGACATAAAGGAGAGACGATCCTCCAACATTCAATGTCCAGCTCAATTACTGGTGTAAATGAGCGTTCCTATCCCTTGGATGCCTTTTGTTAGCGTTCTCATCTACGAATGCAATTTTGTTATGTAACGGAATTAAATTCGCGCGATTTCGTGATTTGTATGCCAAATTTTATGTAATCTCCGATACTGTTTTCCATTCGATTACGCGGAATTAATTTATTTACTTGCTTGAACTCTGGAATATTAATATTATATAAATTTCAGCTTTTACTGAAAATAAAAAAAGAAGCCTTCATTATAAAATATAATGACTATATGTGACATCTAAAACTTAATCAGACGTAGGAATTCAGTATGTAAAATGTAGTACTTTGAAAGATTGAATAGATTACTCTAAAAGTTAAAGTTTCTTTTACGATGTCATGCGCAAATAAATCCACATGTGGGCATCACCAACAAGAGTGTTGCGAGCAACGAACAAAAAAGGGCCATGAGACAATCGTTTTTATGTTACGAAGCCCTTGACTCCAATCTTTTTCTGAGTTGCGGATGGATGTAGTTGCATTTCATATGTCACGTGATTGAAATTCTCGTCGAGAAGTCAGAGGCAAAGACATGGCTGTCTGACCGACGAAGGTGGGATATAGCAAGTAGGAGGTGAAATGAAATGAAACGAGAAGATACGAAAGCTGCGTGACGTGAGGTAAAAAGGTTATGCGGTGACTTTGCATACCGAGATTGGAGCTACTCTCCAAAGGAGAATCGAATGCTGCATTGTCAAAGGGGAAATCTTTCAGCTTCGGCCGCTACTACTTTCGTTCATTCAGGTAATAAAATCGATTTGCATCAGTGTCAAGGCTTTCGTTGATTTAGATTGTTCCCTTCACGGTCTCTTGAATGTCACTTGCAAAAGATAATATTCGCTTTCGATTTTCAAGCTACAGATCTTTGAATTTGATACGCACGCAAAAATAACTTGAGAATCCAATTTTCCAAGTTTTTGAAAACAATAGCTAGCTTCACAGCAGCATAAGATGATATGATATTTTTCTTGGAGGAAGTTTCCATAGTTATCTAAATAGAGAGTTGAACTTACGTTTGAAGTCAATCCAAGTTAGATACATCCATTTCTCTCTCGAGGCTTTGAATAATTTGTTTTTTTTTTTTTGACTTCACTTTGTAGTTTATTTCATAATCTTAGTACAAGATTTTACTTTGAATTATTCAAATATAAATTGTGTTAAATAAAAATTTTAATCCCCTCGCAGCTTTCGCAAGATTATCCAATTTGTTATGACGAAAAAAAATTCGCATGTAAATATCCGATGCGTAGGTATAAATTTAGCTTCCTCTCCACGCTTCGAGAAATTTCGATTCTCATAAAATATCCATAATTTTAAGGAAGAAAGAGGCAAAAAAAATATTTTTTTTTGTAGGTATGTTTCGAGAAACTATCATGCTATTGGAGATTCGCAAAAAAGCGCAAGCGCCTCCATTCTTAGACACAGAACAATGCGCGCCTGGAGAGACAGAGCGAGAGAGAAAGATACGGACGGAACAATGCGGGTCGAGGCAAGAAAGCTCAAACAATGCATTTTTTTTCAAAATAAAAATAAAAGGAGAATTGATTAATCCGTGCTTGCGCGTGAAAAATTGGAGAGCATTGATGCGCACAAGGAGGCACGCGGTAAACGATAGAGTCGATTTTCGGCTTGAATAGCAGGCTATTTACTTAGGCGCATGTGAGCACGGCATCGCTGTCTTAACTTGCTTCTCAAACCTTTTCCCCTTCCCTTTTTTTCAAGATCTCACTCTACCGGTTGGCCTCATTTTTTTCTTCTTCCTCTGGCTTCTCTCCCTCTTTTTCTTTGGGCTAGTTTCGAATCTTGAACTTTTTTCAAATCTTTTTGGTAAATGAACGTGTCGGATTTTTCTACTAGGATGCAATTCAGTGAATTCAAAAATAATAAAAAAACATTTTTTTTTTTTAGATGCAAATAAGACATTTTGAAAAACATGTTTGATGCTAAGTTTTAATATATCAAAGTACTGTTTCAAATCATTTTTGTAATGGAACATATTGATAAATTTACCGATTGATCTATAAATTTCTGCGGATAATTTGACGCGCACTTTGATTTTAACAAGATCAACGATTTTATGAGATCAAACAGAATTCACCGACGGGAATCCCGTTTGTACGTACGTATATTCCAGTATATTTTCCACATCAATGCCGATTAGTGCACACCTTTCGTAGCAAATGAGATAAAATGCTTCCAGGATATGCCTGCTTTTATGTGACATTCTCTCTCTCTCTCTCTCTCTCTCTCTCTCTCTCTCTCTCTTTCAGCGCCGTGTACCTCGTGTATAAAGACAGCACCGACGTGTAAAGCAGTAATATCATCAGCAGGAAAATCCCGAAAATCTCGTAAGGTCCGTACTCGTTGTGACAGGACTGTCTGAAATTTTGATACTCGACTCGGCCGCCGTCGACGACGACGACTCTCGTTTGACTACCTAATGAACTCGTTGTCGCATATTAACGCGCCCATTTACATGCTCGTTTGCTGTGGTCGGTAGTAGACTATTTTTGCGCTTTTGAATTGTGTTCATGACCGCAGATAAAAGAGTGCTTGTTAAAGTCAAGGAGAATCGCCGGCAGCATTATTTCTTTCGGTGGCAATAGTTTGTTGAAAAGATTTTCATAATGGTACTAACTTCATAATTTCATATAAAAGTGACGAATCACATTTACAATTTTAACAAATGTCAGAACTGACGGTGGTACTGCAATGAAATGATTATGTCATTGCAAGTAATCGAATTCAACTCATCTCTTATTTTCGAGCTTATAAGAAATGAAACTGTACCACACGAGGGCGTCTTTAACATTGTACGTGAGCGTACGCTTGTCAGAATCAGTAGCGCGACTCGATGTAAAGTCATACATTCAATTTAATCCTTTCGCGCGGCAACATCACTTCCGTAAAGTACTTTAAATCATTGGAATCTCAAGTTTTTACAGCATCCTAAGGGAAGAGACATCAAAATACAGCACTTTAACTTTACTGGCTTTTCTGTTCGGCCATGACTTCTGATTTGCATTGCGGAGAATCTTTGAGAACAGCAGCGGGACTATATAGGTGAATCGCACGCGGGCAACAAGTAACGAATCAAACTAGCGAAATGTCTCCCCTCCCTCCCCCCAGAAGATGGAAGTTCATGCGACGACGGATGTTTGCGCGATCGATCTTAAACGTCCCTCCCGAGCCACTCGGAGCATAACTTGCAGACAATCGGTCGCCCTACTCCCCCCACTTCTGCTTCGTTCTGTGTACTGCCGCTTGAGGATTTTATGCAGATATCGATGTTTTCGTTCAGCTGTTTCAGACAACAATGTCTATTTGTTCGCTTCTTCGTGAAACGGATGTTTGCCGAGTAGAGGCTGTTTTGGATTCCTGTGCGACCAAAATGGGTTTTTAATACTGTGTAAATCTGCGGTAACATCCAATTGCTTATTTGTTGGTTCGAGCGGAATCGACATTTTTGTTTACTGTTATGTTTGTTGAAATCTCATGAAATGATAGCGAGCATAAATTATTTTTTCGAGTTTCCCCCTCATCCTCAAAATCTGGGTAAAGCCCGATTAAAAGTGTCCCGCGAAACATCAAAGTAGGCGACTAGTAGAAAGCATTATCGTCATAATTTATGAAATACGCAGTTACTCATTCTATAACAAGCCTAATAAACTAACGCACGCGCGTGTGTGGTACGTTTCAGCGAGCGTCTGACAGCAGGACGAGAAGTTGTCGTCGTAGTCGTGCCTCGAGCGCTACAAGTTTTCTTGGGCGCTGCGTGTTTCCTTAATGAGACACGCGAAGAAAATTATATCGTCGTACGCTCACTATGTTAGCCACACGCGACCGCAAACTTGCACGCAACTTTTAACCAAACTTCACGCTAAAAGGAGTAATGGCTATAAATGAATTCTTTGGAAGCCGACTATGAGTGATTTTGTAACTTTTTTTGAAAAGTGAGTGTGAGTGTGACTTGGACACGTGCATATAAATCTCATGAATGAAGCGAAGAGTTATTACAGGAAGAAAGGGCTGAAAAGCCGACTCTAATGGGATCTCTGCCAATAATGACAGCTGATTTATGGAGCGGAGAGATTCAGTTGTGTGGATAATGGCTACAAAAACTCGCAAAACTAGCTTTTCTTCTTCAGTTCTCTTCTAATATGAGAACAACGAAACAATCAACCGAGGAGCTCAAAAACCGAGATGATAGACAAAAGTATATTGCTCGATTACGATTTGTTGATGACGATACTTATGACGAACTTATGTTCATTGATTTGAAAACTTTTTGTTTCGTTTTCTTGCTCTGCTAACAGTGATTCACTGGTGGCGCGACATCGAACGACTTTAAACGACTGCTAAAAGTTTTGACACGGCAAACAACAGGTTGTTGATGGTTTCGTTTATATTTTGTATGAAACGAAATTTGTAAATGATTGATGATCAGAATATATGATAAGCAGATATCGTTCGCCAAGAAAAAATAAATATTTCCCAAGAATTACATTGGGAAAAAAGATATACCCTTTAATGATAAAATCGGTGAATGGTACAATTTTTCTATTAATCATAAAGCGAAAATGTAAGATTGGATTATAATATTAGCAAAGGAAGCTTATACATTACTCCAAAAACTTTTTTTTTATCTATTTATACATTGTTCATTATCAGAGTTCAAGCATTAAATTTTACCAAAGGATTAGTAGATTTATTCTGATAAAAAAATTGATAAATGGACAGCTGTTAGATCTCACTTTGAATTTTTATCATCGCTATGTAAAAATAAAAAACCTCCTTTGAAAATGAAAATCTGAAGTTCTGTGCCCTCTGTGTACATGCAAAAAACAGAAAAACGAAGTTCCTATCAACGATATTATCATCAACGTACATAATCTCGCACTTACGGAAGTTGAACACCGCGAATTGTCCTTAAATTGAGATGACTCATCGATATGACTAGTTGAGATTCAAAAGCATCAACCGCGTTAATTATTGGCAAGAAGGAGATGCGTATGGTAATGTATTCTATACACTTTTTAACCTCTGAGATAACTCATTTACGTTTAAGTGGCGCAATCTAAATAGGATTTCGCTCTCTCGTGCTGTTGTTGTTTCTTCTTTAAATCGTCGAGGAACGTAAGAAGTAGGATTACTCGCCCTGCTGAGAGATAAAGATAGAGAGAACTTGCTTTTAGCTGTTTTTTCGATACGCTTGGCAGTTCTCGTACTGATTTGGGTCAGGTAGCTCCTAGCCTCGAGGAAATCTCTCTCTCTCTCTCTCTCTCTCTCTCTCTCTCTCTCTCTCTCTCTCTCTCTCTCTCTTACCGATATTTCACGCCATTTTATTTACCCTTTTACGCCCCCAAAAACTTTATGGCTGTTTTCTCTACGAATTCCGAGTTATGTATTTCTGATTTTTGACTAAAGATGAATCTTGTTGAAATGGTAGCTACGATTAAATTTTCATGCATTTTTCAGTTCATTCTAGTTTTCTGGAAATTTTAATATTTCGTTATAAGCATATTTGAGAAAATTAAAGTCAAGGCCCATTTGAATAGTAGACGACAAAATGTTGGAGAAAATAACGAAATAGTGATTAATTATACCATTTAAATATTGTTGAAATAGAAGTTAGAAACTTGAAGCATACTTGAGTTAATTCAGTTGTACATTTATTCTCACTTCTTTCAATTTAATTCATTTGGCTAATAGTTCGAATTTGAAATGTACGCGCGTTGATCTCTTTTCGATACTTGAGCTTATCCGGCTGCCTATGTGTCACTCGAACCAAGTCTTAGTAAAATTCGCGTATGGCCTCCATCAATGTGCGTACGATAAATGCCAAATGAGCACAAACACTCGACAGTTCCTTAGGTCGCGAACTCGAGTTATTTCATTTGATAATGCGAGAGAGGGGGGGGGGGAGAAGAAGATAAAAGTTCAGAAAGCAAAGTGTTAGGAGTGTAAGAGGACAGAAAAAATGGCAAGGGAGTGGAGACAGCTAGATAATGAAAAAGCTAACGATTTTCGAGATTCTCACGGCCCAGTGAGTCTCTTTTTACGAGCTGGCCGAGAGAAGAGGCGTGGCAGTCAAAGGCTAGCTATGCGCCCAGCTGGTACGTACATTCTGCACTTTGGATGAAAAATACATCCCACTCGCACCCCCTCCCTCTGTCCTCACATTCGTGTATATATGCGAGATGCTCTGTATCGAATCCGCAAAAATGCGATATCCAGAGGCCGCCAAGGTAATTACGCTTTTGCGATGAAATTTTTTATGGGCGATCCATGCGTGTGTCTGCGTTAGCTCAACAGTTATATGCATCTATTTTCGTGCACGCGTACAACCTTATAGTCAACGAGCCAACAATGCCGGCTTGTTTTTACTCTGACATAATGTCACCTCTACCTTTTCCTCTCTCTCTTCTTTTCCTCTTCTTTTTCTTTGAGAGGACGCGCGAGAAGAAGAGTAACATTTTTCTCTTTCTCTCATTTTTCACCGATCAACAAAAATAGAGAGAGAGAGAGAGAGAGAGAGAGAGAGAGAGAGAGAGAGAGAGAGAGAGAGAGAGAGAAATATAGCGTATTCTTTCATGTATATTTGAAACGAGAAGATGTTGATGAATTGTTCCGCGTGCTGTAATGAATGAAAATAGGCATCGCTAAGGATTTCATTATACTCCGTTACCAAAACAGCAAAGAGCAAAACAAATGATAATTTTCTTTTTGGACAATATGGAAGATAATTGGTAATGTCGTCTGGATTTGAAAAATAAAAAAATATGCTATGGCGTCATTGTGGGGACTTCGACGCTCGGCGCAAACTCTCGCGGGAGATTCGAAATTAAGCTAACCTGTTTTCACAGTCAACCTGGACGGGAAAGCTTTTATTTTGGCTGCACTTTTCGAGAAAATGAGTTATTTTTACAACTTGATTATTTCCTTACTTTTTACCTTAATACGACTCTTTTATATGTACGACGTTGTATGGAAATTACATTTTGCAAGCATAGATGGTTTCAAAAAGAATGACAATATAACATTATGTATGCGGAGTTAGTTTTTTTATGTAGTACTCGTGCAAAAAGTTCTTGTACGTAAATTATAAAATAACTTTGTCTACACTTCGTATCATCTTGAAATTACAAAATTATTCGCTCACTATGGCTTGTAACATTTTTTAATTGATCCCTGATTATTGATAAATACAGAATCAATCTTTAAAGTATACAAATGTTAAAGTGGAAATCAATGCAGTAATATTCCTACTGAACTTTTCCATTGATGTAACTTTGAACTTCAATGACAATTAAATATCCACGGATCGACGTCTACGTACGACAACGACTTCTAACCATGCTAATAATACAAACATATACGAATACATATAACGCATATTTACCTATCATTTTTAAAAGCTCCGTCAAAGAAAAATTAGAACCATATTTCTCACTTGGAGAAATGATACTTACAATAGACTCTCGGCACGCAACTCGTACTGGCGCTGTTATATAGACTTTCGCTATACATCAG